TGGGGTTCTCGCCGGGTTACTCGCTGTTTAGCCGACCCAGAGGCCGTTGCTGACACTCTACACAAAGCTGATCTGAGGTTCAAACTTCCCGGGGTGGTTGAGATTTCAACCATTCTCTGTTTGACCAAATTTACTATACTGGTCATGACTAATTCCTAAGCCTCTTCCCTCCTCAGGCTACCCAAAAAACCCCTATGTCCAAGAGGGGAAAGGCCAGGTGACGGGTGGTCTGCATCTGCAATACATGTCCCCGAATACCACCCATTCAGCAGAAATTCCTCGTTCGATTCGAGGTCTGGCCATGCAATTTCTTGCAGTGTGTTTTTTAAGCTTCTGCAGTAAAACTAAACAAATGGAGATGCAGGTATAACACTGAGTTCACCTTCCTTCCTACTGCATTGTTCAAACACATTTTGAACAGGAATCAGAGTAGAAAGGCTCAGTGGTGGATGGTCCACCTCTGCAATGGGTACACCAGCTTGCCATAGGTTTCGGCAGAAGCTCGTTCAAATCGGGCCTAAGCCATGCGGGAAATTGATTTGAGCTTTTTTCATGAACCTCTACACAAAGTTAATCTGAGGTTGAAACTTCCTGGGCTCATGGTTGGTAGCTAAACCATGCTTTGTTTGGCCAAATGTACTACACCAGTTATGATTAATTCCTGTGCCTCTTCCTTCCCTCAGTCTGACCAACACCTGCCTGCATTACCACGGGAGGAACAAGAGAGGAAAGGCTGGGTGGTGGATGGTCCCGCATCTGCAATACATGGCTTTGGATGCTGTTCATTCAGCAGAAGTTCCTTGTTCGATTCGAGGCCCAGCCACTGGCATCCCAGATTGTGTTCCAGTTTTTTTTTCTTGAGCTTCTGAGGCAGGGAAAAAGTGAACATGGACAACTGAGGTCCCAATAACTGATATCAAGTTCAAAAATCATTTCATTGGCTGAAGCTGTGCCCAACGAACGATATCACACCAGGTTTACTTCTGTTTTCCGGGTTCCTATTGGCTCTTTTCAAATGTATGTATTTTGAGCAGGAATGGGGTAGAAAGGCTCAGTAGTGGGTGGTCCATGTCTGCAATGTGTTGAATGTTCTATTGTGTGTTCTGCAGAAGATGTCTGTTTGAATCGGGCCTGAGCCATTACCAAGGCTTGTGGCCGTCTTTTTGCATGATCCCCAGAAAGTTAATCTGAGATTCAAACTTCCGGTCGCAGGGTTCGACACACTCACTTCTGTGGTTGACCAAATTTACAACATTGGTCATGATTACTGGGCCATCTGTGTCTTGCCTCCCTCCGGCTGACCAAAACCTGTCCGCATGTCAGGGGGCAGAAACAAGAGATGAATTTGAAAGGCTGGGTGGCGGATGGTCTGCATCTGCAATACATAATTGACAAATGCCATCGGTACTCAGCAGACGCTCCTTGTTCGAATCGAGCCACAGCCATGGGGAACAAAAGCCAAAGACTTTTTTTGAGCCTCCGAGGCAGGGCCGATGTGAAAAATAACAATTCAGGTACGGTGAACAGGGGCAATCCGGGTATCATTACTATCATGCCACTGGCAGGTTCAAACAAATTATGACATTTGCTGAAGCTGGGCCAGGCCGAGGTATCACACTGAGTTCACATCCGTTCCCACTGCATCTTTCCAGGTACATTTTGCGCAGCAGAGTAGGAAGGCTCGGTGGTGGATGGTCCATCTCTGCGGAATGTTTGAGTATCTCGTGTTTGAGCAGAAAATGTTCGTTCGATTCGAGCCCGAGCCATTACGTCGATATCCTTTTTCTTTTATCAATGCCTTGCAACTCTGGAATGATTTTTATTGTTTCGGCAACTGGCAGTCTAAAATTACAGGTTGTTGAAATATACACCTTTGAGTTGACCGAAATGTCAGAAAAAAAAAAAGATGCCCGCATATACGGAGTAGGAACATGGTAGGAAAGGCTTGGTGGATGGGTCCGCATCCGCAATACATAAGCATCTGTCTAACGTGCTCTGCGGAAGTCACTCGTTCGAATCGAGTTCAAGCCATCTGTCGAAACGTCGTTTTTTTTTCATCCACACTGACTGGAAAACTCATTCCAAGAAACCGAACGACCTTGAATTACACGCAGCAGCGATAGGGGTGAGCGAAACGGCTGATCCGCAGGATATACCGGACACTGCCAAGCACTGCCACACGGCAAAAGCACATACGAAAGCGCTCGGCTCCACAATACTTGCAGCTTTGTCTCTTACCACCACACGAGAGGCAACGATGCAACTAGCATCACACGGGGTGCGGGTTTTAACCCGCAAAGCCCCCCAAACAGCCAGATCTCTACACATCCCCTCCGCCCGCCCCCAAGCCGCCGGCCTCGGCCAAAAACTCCTCACCCAAACTCGTCTCGCCCTCACCCGCTTCGTCGGCCACCTCACCGCCCCGGGCCTCGGAAATACCGTCTCTGTCGCTCGCTCGTTCCATGCCGCGAATCCGAGCATCCACCAACGTCTCTCCTTTGCCGCGCGCACGACCCTCGCGCGCCCGGTCCAGAGCCGCTTCCTCCCCGCGCGGGCCCGTGGTGCCCCGTGGTATGACCCAAGTCGGGCTCGGCACCGCGCGCAACTTCTCCTCGGGCCGCCCGATCTTCCAGCAGCTCGCGGACAACATCCCCGTTGCGGGCCGCGCGTTCTACGAGGCGGACTGGGAGGTGAACATGCACAAGGAGCGGCAGGCGCTGCGCCGGCCCGCCTCCAAGCGCGCTGCGGCTGTCGCCCAGGCGTCCAAGGAGCTGCTTAAGCCCACCGCTAAGCCCAAGGTTGTCGTGGCCGCTCCGGAGACCGAGGCGGAGATCGAGCACTACTTCCCCGCGCCCGCCCTCCCCGCGGTCACCACCACCCTCCTCATCCCCCTCGCGCCCACCCCCACCTCGCGCGCGCCGCTCCCGAGTTCCCCTCTACTTCTGTCACCTCTGGAAGCACAGGCCGCCTCCCCCTCCCCGCGCTCCTCACCCTGCACACCGCACACGAAACGCACGCCGCGCGCGTCGCGTCTCTCTTCCAGCGCCTAGACGTCGCAGAGGTGTGGTCCGCGCGGCGTCACCTGCGCCGCGTACGCCTCTACCGTCGCTGCGGGGACGGAGGGCGTGTGCAACGTGCTGAAGGTCGAGTTCCGCGGGTGGAGCAAGGCCGCAGTGCGCGGCGTGCTAGGGGAGAGCGGGACGGGGTGGTGTGTACTGGAGGAGTCCGTCTCCCCGTTCGATTACGACGACTACGAGGGGGATGAGGACGCATTCTCGGAAACGTCATCGGTCCTCTCGGGCATGGAGCTCGAAGAGCCGGTACAGGGAATGGGAATGGACCCGGCGCAATCCTTCGTCCTCCCCACGCTCGACTTCTCGTCGTCCTTCCTCGCTGCCACTACACCCTCCACCCCCGCCGCCCCCGTCTTTTACGACCACGCGAACGCCAGCGCCGACTCGGTGTTGGTGTGGTCCGACCCGGCGTTCGTCGACCCCCCTTCGTCCTCCGAAAACGGGTGGTTCGCCTCGGAGGGGGTGGACGATCCGTGGCTCGACTCGGATTCAGACAGCAGCGACGGGAGCGGCTGGCTGGGGTTCAGCGCGGCGTTCTCGACGCGCCTCACCCCGGCTGCGACGCCCGAGCCAAGGGAGAGTGTGTTTGCGTGAGCGCCGCACTGAACCCTTCATTCGCCGCGCTGCGAATGCAGCCTTGCGACCGAATTGCACTCTAAGTACATCTTATCCAAGTATCTGTATCTTCGCCCACCTGAGGCTGCCACGCTCCTTGTACTCCACTCTGTTCTGTTTCCGCCCACGACGTACTCACGATCTACCTCTCTTCCTCCTTACCTATCTTTTCTTTCGTCTGTAAAAATACAGTAACACCAATTTAAAGTAACACAGAAATACGATTCAGTGTTCACCGCACCTGCGTCGTTGGCTATGATGAGTTACTGACTACACTTTTTTGAATCGGAAGCCGACATAGAGACGGTGATGCTTGTGAGTCGAATTGCACTTGCTGCCTCGAGCCTACACCCCACCACTTCGATTGAAGAAGGGGAATTGAATTGGATTAGGCTTCCGATTGGGCGCTGGATTCGGCGTCAAAACGGTCCAAAGATGCGGGGCTGAATAGCCTAAAGCGAAGTTTAAAAGGCTTGAGACGGACACACGCGATTTTATAAAGAGGGAGAACACACCATCGCCTGCGCTAACATCTAGCTAACCCGCCGCAATTCAAGCACTAATATTAAGTAATATGGATCACATCACATCACGATGTCTCGCTTTGACCGCCCCTATTTACTCGCTGTGATGGTGGGCAGATTTGAGTGAAAACTGGGCATTTGAATTATCCGAATCAAATCCGAATCCCTAAAAATGAAAAAGTGAGAAGAAAAAAACTTCATTTGTAGGAAACATGGTCATGGCTCGCATCCGAATCGAACGGATGACGTCTGCGGAACTGGGTATTTGGGGGAAGATGCACAGGGTGCAGGTGTGGGCCAACCACCGAGCCGTTCTTGTACTGTCCTGTGGGTCGATGTGTCTATATCGTGATATCAATTCTCGCTTTGATCGCCCTGCCATTGATGCGTGAGGTGGAGAGTCGAGAAACAAATTAAAGCTGGGCTCTCGATCCGTTCGATATCTAGAACTCGGTTAATTGCATTCCCTCCTAGGAAGGAAAAAAAAAGTGGAACAATGGCAGACATCCATGGCTCGCACCCGAATCGAACGGGTGACGTCTGCGGAACTGAGTATTTATGGAGCTGCTGCGTGGTGTACAGAGTGCAGGTGTGGGCCGACCACCGAGCCGTTTGTGTGTATCGTGGGCGTGATATATGGATGATCTTGTGGGGGGAGGGGGGTTGAGGCGAAGGCAACCGGAATGGGAACGTCTAGTCAAACAGGTCGATTGAAATCCTAAGTGTAATCAAGGGATTGAAATTGGGGCGAATCCGCCGCTGGGACAAAAACTGAAATATCATCTCATGGCTCGGGCCCGATTCGAACGAGCTTCTTCTGTTCAATGCGGATACAATCTCCCCCTACATGATACAAATGTGAGCCATCCACCACCGAGCCTTTCTGATATATGTCTTGCCCTGGATATACTTGCCAATTCAGTGGTATTCTTGGTTTTGGAAGTGAACCTGGCACAATAATCAATCTGTTTGCCCATGGCCACTGCTTAGAGGGTTCAACTTGATATCCCGTTCAACCCGTATCTCCCATAGTCACTAGGATCCTGGGGTTTTATTGTTCTTGGTGTGGTTTTGCAGATCTCCTGTGCTTACCTTATACTCACGCAAGTCCATCAGAAAATCTCGCTTTAAGGCGCCCCTATTTGACTTTGTCACTGGGTTTTGAGTACAGAAGCAGAATTCAATATTAGTACCTTTCCCTCCTGACAAAAACAATGGATCCAAAGTCTAAGCCGTTATAACCCAAACAGTGTTTTTTCCGACACACCGGTGTCATGGCTCGCACCCGAATCGAATGGGTGACATCTGCGGAGCTGTGCGATTCATGCTATCGGATGCAGGTGTGGGCCAACCACCAAGCCTTTCTTTTGTGTATCCAGTCTGTGATATATGTAGGTGGATGTTTTTTCCGATTTTTCATGGGTTGAGAAGGCAACACCGAATGCCTGGTAGAAGTGGGTTCCGATTTATTTGGAGAGAGAGAGAGGAACAGGCTATTAAGAGTTGGAATGGGTTGGAATTTGAGTCCGCCAGTGCAGACCACGCAAAAAGGCTGAATCGTGCAAAAAAAAAAAGACAATTTCCAGCGTTAGCAATTAAGATCTCAGGACACGATAAAAATAAAAGAACCAGGAAAATGCAAGGACAACGGGGAAGGATCCGAGCGATGAAAAAATCAACGGGAGCCATGTAAGGGTAGCAAACAAGAAACTGGGAAAATAAAGATTTTAAGGAAGAAAACGCGGAAACGCACTCATAAACCCCAACTCCTCCTTCAACACGCCAGTGATAATCTTGCTGCTCTGTCACGCCTGCGTCCGGTTGATCTTGTTATATGCACACATGACGGAACCGACGCCAGAGAGGAACGGGTCGGCGCCGGATCCTTCACAGTTACGCCTAGCAGCGGCTTGGCGGCCTTCAGCGCAGCGGACGCAGCCATATTGATTGTGAGCCCCAAAGCAACGTTTACGCCTATTGGCTTCCCCCGCGCCTCGACGAGGGCGTTGTCCCACGGCGCGGGGCCGTTCAGGCCTGCATGGAACACGCTGACGTACTGCGCCAAACGAACGCCGAGCGGGGGGAGTCTTGGAGGCAGAGGCCATTCCAGTGTAGACGGGGATCTTCGCGCCATTTGAGATCAATACAGCGTGAATTTAGGGAAGAGGGAGCGAGTGCACCCCCGATATAGATACCAGTCGTGACATTGATCTTTTCCTCCAGAGTGAGACCAGAGACGATTTTTTTTTTGCCTTAGCGATTGCGTTGGCTCAATCGCCCGTGCTAACCACAGGCGGAGCGGGCGTTATGATGGGGGCAACCCTTGCTCAAAGCCCACAGGTGCGGGGTCGAGAATGCCTGTTATTACGTCGGCTAGCGCGGCGGGGAGGGCGATGAGAGCTGAGAGCAGCCGTATGGATGTCCTAGTGTATTTGGATCAAGGAGAGACCAGGAAGTTTAAGCTCGTCAGAGGAACGAAGGAAGTGCAGGTGGGCAGCGCGTTTATTCGTTAGTCTGGAGTGGAGTAGCTGACCATCTTTCGAAGGGGATCTCTTCGCAGATCTGCGTTCAGCCATGGCGTTGGAGAAAACAGCAAGATAAGTTACTTACTGACCATCACTCCGTGGCTCACGGATCACTACGCGACTCTCTTCTTGCTCCTACTTGCCTGCAACCGCTGAACGCTCAGATGGTATGCGCTCGCTGTCCCCATGCCCCGCTGCTGACGTCCCTTCGATTTTGCCCCGCCCGCAGGGAGTGCGTGACCGTCCCCTTCAGCCGTGCCCTGCCGCTGACCTCTCTCCGTCATTGCCCCGCTGCAGAAAGTGCGTAATTGTCCTCTTCCGCCATGGCGCGCTGCTGACGTTCCAGTGACTTTGCCCCGCCCGCAGACCGTGCATGATCCCTCTCTTCCGCTATGGCGCGCCCACTGACCTCCCTTCGATTTGCCCCGCCCGCAGCCTGTGCGTGATCAGTCTCTTCCGCTATGGCGCGCCACTGACCTCTCTTCGATTTGCCGCGCCCGCAGACCGTGTGGGATCCCTCTCTTCCGCTATGGCGCACCACTGACCTCCCTTCAACTTTGCCCCGCCTGCAGACTGTGCGTGATCGTCCTCTTCCTCCATGCCCCACCACTGACCTCCCTTCGACTTTGCCCCGCCTGCAGAGCGTGCGTGATCGGTCTCTTCTGTTGCAGCTCGAGACTGGGAGTGCGTGATCGTCTACTTCCGCTATGCCGCGCCCGCTGACGTCCCTTCGACTTTGCTCTGCTCACAGTCCGTCCGTGATAGTCCGCTTCTGTCGCAGCTCGTCGCTAAAGTCCCTTCGACTTTGCTCCACCTTCAGAGAGTGCGTGATCGTCCACTTCCGCTATGCCGCGCCGCTGACGTCCCTTCGACTTCGCTCTGCTCACAGTCCGTCCGTAATAGTCCGCTTCCGTCGCAGCTCGTCGCTAACGTCCCTTCGACTTTGCCCCACCTTCAGGGAGTGCGTGATCGTCCACTTCCGCCATGCCGCGCCGCTGACCTCTCTCCGTCATTGCCCCGCTGCAGAAAGTGCGTAATTGTCCTCTTCCGCCATGGCACGCTGCTGACCTCTCTCCGTCATTGCCACGCCCACAGCCCGTGCGTGATCGTTTTCTTCCTCCATGCCCCGCCACTGACCTCCCTTCGACTTTGTCCCGCCTGCAGCGCGCAAGTGATTGCTCTCTTCCGCCGTGCCCCGTCGCTAACGTCCCGTCGACTCTGCCCCACCTGCAGCCTGTAGGTGATCGCTCTCTTCCGTCGCAGCTCGCCGCTGAAATCCCTTTGACGCCTGCAGCCCGTAGGCGATCGCTCTCTTCCGTTGTAGCCCGCCGATGACGTCCATTTGACTTTGCCCCGCCTGCAGCCCGTAGGTGTTCGCTCTCTTTTACCATGGCACGCCGCTGAGGTCCCTTGGACTTTGCTCCGCCCGCAGGGAGTGCGTGATCGCTCTCTTCCGCCATAGTGCGCCGCTGACGTCCTTCCGACTTCGCCCCGCCCGCAGACCCAGCGTTATCGCTCTCTTACGCCATGCCCCGCCACGGACGTCCCTTCAACTTTGCCCCAACTGCGGCCCGTAGGTGATCGCTCTCTTCTGCTGTGTCCCGCCGCTGACCTCTCTCCGTCTTTGTCCCGCCCACAGAGAGAGCGTGATCGCTCCCTTCCGCCGTGCCTCGCCGCCGACGTCCCTTCGACTTTGCCCCGCCCGCCGGAGGTGCGCGATCGCTCTCTTCCACCGTGCCCCGCCGCTGACCTCTCTCCGTCATTGCCCCACCCGCAGCCCACCGCTGATCTCTCTCCGTCTTTGTCCCGCCCGCAGAGAGAGCGTGATCGCTCCCTTCCGCCGTGCCTCGCCGCCGACGTCCCTTCGACTTTGCCCCGCCCGCCGGAGGTGCGCGATCGCTCTCTTCCACCGTGCCCCGTCGCTGACCTCTCTCCGTCATTGCCCCACCCCCAGCCCGCCGCTGACCTCTCTCCGTCTTTGTCCCGCCCGCAGAGAGAGCGTGATCGCTCCCTTGCGCCGTGCCTCGCCGCTGACGTCCCTTCGACTTTGCCCCGCCCGCCGGAGGTGCGCGATTGCTCTCTTCCGTCGTGCCCCGCCGCTGACCTCTCTCCGTCATTGCCCCACCCCCAGCCCGCCGCTGACCTCTCTCCGTCTTTGTCCCGCCCGCAGAGAGAGCGTGATCGCTCCCTTGTGCCGTGCCTCGCCGCCAACGTCCCTTCGACTTTGCCTCGCCCGCTGGAGGTGCGCGATTGCTCTCTTCCGTCGTGCCCCGCCGCTGACCTCTCTCCGTCATTGCTCCACCCGCAGCCCGTGCATGATGATCCTCTTCCGCCATGCCCCGCCGCTGATGTCCCTTCGACTTTGCTCCGCTCACAGTCTGTACGTGATAGTCCGCTTCCGCCGTGGCTCGCTGCTGACCACTTTTGTGTAAGATGCTCGAGCAAGGGGAGGATGTGAACGGGGCGGATGTAAATGCAGCAAATCTAGAATAAGTTCTGCTAAGCGAGCACAAGTCACGGATTGTGACAATTTGTTACAAGCACAATCAAGTGATTACAATTTGTGAAAAATTCACACCGGGGAAAGTAATTTCTTGACCTAGGTCAAGATGGTAAGCACAGTAGCCAATTCAGTATACCAAAAAAAATAAAAATTTACTCTTATTGTCAGCAAAGTATGAAAGGATTGCTTAGAGATGAACTCTCAGGAGCCTGGTCAGGGGTGAAAAAAAAAACACTATTGAAAACTGCTGAAAGACTTGCTGGAACGACTTGTTTCAGCAATGCTTTCAGCTGTCTTGAAACAAAGAGTTTCATCTTAAAAACAAAGGAAAATTTGATGAAACTCTGTTTCAAGACAGCTGAAAGCATCCCCAAAACAAATTGTTTCAGTGAGTCTTTCAGCAGTTTGGAATACACAGTGTTTCTTTCACCTCTGACTGGGCTCCCGAGAGTTCATCTCTTAGCAGTCCTTAGCAGTCCTTTGTACTTTGCTGAAAATAAGAGTAAATTTTGTTTTTTTTGGTCTACTGAATTAGCTACCGTTGCTTACCATCTTGACCTACTATTGCCTACCGGGCAACCGGCCAGACGAGCCAACCGGCCACTTGCTCGATACAAGAGCCCCCAACATTAATTCTTGGAAACTTCGGTTGGTGGGATGGTACTGGTCCTAAGACAATGCGTTGTGTTGAATTTGGATGAAATTCGGCTCGGCGATCAGAAGCTACGGCATGTTTCCGATCAAGATGATGGGGCATCAATGCCGTTTCTTATCTCCGAACCGCCTCCACGCTCATGTCTCCCCGGTTTCTCCACGAAATCTTCACCAATTTACAAGTTTCGGGGTTCGTTT